ACTCTATTGGATGTGTATGATGTTGGACAAATGATTTAAACCTTGGATTGTTCAATGGAAGTGGAAAGGTAAAATGGGAAATGTTATGTTCAGACTTCTTGCACAAATTAAGGATTTTAGTTCGGCATGTTTTTAGTCATAAGTAACTAGACAACGTTGTAGAGCTCGTCGATACCTTTATGTGGATATAAAGATATTCGAAAATGAAATTGAAACAAAGAAGTTATGGCTGTTTGAAGTTAAGCTGGAAAAAAGGGGCCTGGACCTATAGTGGACGTACATTAGTTAGTATGTTGGGCATACTAGGCTGAAAAAAATTGCGTTTTTAGGGCGTTACGTTGGGCGTAACTTTAGATATGGTGGGCATAATGTTGTAGAGTAAAAACCCTATTTTCATGGTTTTGAGCCCTATTTAAGGTCTCTAACCCCTTGGGGGTCCTTCCCAACATCAACTTCCTCCCTCTTGAGCCTCTAACCCGAAACCCCAACCCCCTAGATCAGTTCTTGAGCCTTTTTATATGTTTTGAGTGCATTTTTGATGAAATAGAAGTTTGAGCTTGTTGATTGTTGAAGCTCAAACTTATGGATCTAGAGCCTAAATTGCATTTCTCAACTCCATAAGGTATAAAGCTTGAATCTGTATGATGTATTTGTTAGATCTAGTTAGTTTTTGGTTTAATGAGATATTTGGTCATTTTAGCGCATAAAGTTCAGATATTAAAAGTTTGTGAAATTGTTTTGGATAAATTTGGAAACTTTATCCATCTAAACATCATATTGATTCAGATATGAAGGTTGGAGACTTGCACTTAATGGATTAAGTTGGAAACTTTATCCATTATGGATCTATTAGGATTCATAAAAATGTGATCTTGATCCTTTTCTTCCCTCCATGCAAGAATCATGATGCTTTTGTTTATGTATTAAGTTAGGATTTTGGTGTATGGACTCCTTCTAGCCATGGGAAGTCATAAAGTTGGAAAACTTATGAATTAGAATGTTATTTGGGACTATATTTGAGCTTTGGACGTGAGATCTTAATGAAATAAGCACTTATTGAATGTAAATGAAATTGGTATTGTACGCTGGACGTACCTAGTAGTACACTGAGCGTACCAGGTTGGAACCCCGTAATTAGGAAGGGATCTACTATACTGAGCGTAGTGATTGAGTACGCTCGACGTACTCAATCTGTGTTGACTTCTTTTGACTTTTTGACTTTGACTAGGAATTTGACTAAATTTAACCTAAGGTCATTTTGGGAAATTTGAATTATAGTTTAAGATTTGGGTCCATGTTAATTGTATAGGTGACTGGTAGATATAGATTTTGGAGCGGTGATCGGTGCAACTATTCTTTCAGATTGTATAGTGAGTCTCTTTACTGTACCCATGGGTTGAAGACACCAATTCCAGCCCACCAGGATATGTTCGGTAAGAAGACCAGGTGATGACACCTGGCAGTTACATGAAAGACCTAGTTATGGCTCCCGAAAATTATATACAAGACTAAGGTCTGGACCTTGGCAGTTATATGTAGTATGCTAGTTGTCTTTGTGATATTTGCATGGAAGACTAGGAGGTGGATTTTGGTACTTGTCTGTAAAAGCTAGGATTTTGGCCTCTGGTCTATTAAGGAAAGACCATGATACTACTCGTGGCATGATGTGAAGACTATGGTTGGCACATAGAAATCTCTATTGTATGTATGATATGTGGTATCTTGGGGAAGTCATCAAACTTTGTGCTTACGATTTTATGTTTATGGTCTTAGGTACTTCCGGTACGAAAAGGAAGGGCCCAACATGACTACACAACACCCCCTAGGGTTTTTGCATTGGTAATTTATGATATTTAAATAATATTTTCACTTTGATCGGTTTCGGACCAACTTGTTTGTATGATTTATTGTTTTAAAAATGAAAATTTTACTACAGATTTTTGGGACGTTACAAATCATGTATAAAAAGCTCAAACTCAAAATTCATCATTAAAGTCTTAAAATGATTGAAAATGGGGAAGATAATCACCTTAGGAGTTAGATATGTAAAAAAAACTTCCTTCTAGTAAGCTTGATCACCCTAAAGAACCTTCTAAAACCTTGAAATCATTGGACCCAATGCTCTCAAGAAAATGGGATAGTTTTTTTAGGAAATGAGCCCTAAACTCAGATGTAGATATGTTTTAAACATGGCTGTAGCCAGGCTTCCACCGCACCGTTGTGCGTCAAATGATTATGTTATCTTCCTTTTGTCACACTATGGCAACCAAAACCCATGGAAACCTACTTTGTGGCGGGTCATATTTTTGTAGTTTATGTTGGGCTTATATTGTTATTTGTTCTTGGGCTTAGAATAGTATTTTGTTAATGGGCTTATTATGTTTTTGGTTGTAAGGACCGAAATCACCAATATTGACCGTAGCCCTTCGCAACATGTCCCTAAACCGATTCCGACCATAGACTCGAATAACATTGAACGCTCCAAACCAGCAAAGAAGGAAACAAACTTTCACTAATCACCCTGTAACTCACAATATGCAAATGGCATATGATAATGTTTGAAGGCATAATCCAGACACAAGCAGGGAAACAAACACAGAGATAGACTTACTAAAACCCTGGAAACAAAAAACTCCCTCGTACAGTTTCTTGTAAGTACTACACTGAATCTGGCCCTGCTGGCCTCTCAAAAGCTGGCCCAAACTCTTGGGTCTCTTTCCGGGACCCTCCCGTATAGGCACACGGCTTGGTCCCCTCTTCCTAATGTGCTCCAAATCAATCCCTGCTCTCGAGATCTAGGAATCATATCATTTAGGGTCTCACACCCTGACACACTCACCAACTCAATCATTCACGGCGGAACTATTATAGCTGAAGCAACCTCTGCCCTAAACTGGCTACTAACTACTCCCAAGACAAAATCTCCAATCCGAAAGCGCAATAAATCGCACAATAAATCCTTGCCACCTAATACAAGAGATCTAAGGCGAATTCAAAATCCCTGCAGTCCTTCCACTAACTGGCTCACCACTGGAGCTGGGATCAAACCCGGGTGCTTCCTCATGTGTGCTTATCCTTGTCTTGACAAAGCAACTATCGTCACTATCAGAGCATAACCAAGAATTCTCCTTCTAATAAGCTTCTTATGTTCTCCAAGACTCTCACCGATTCGAGTATGGACCTAGTGCTTTTAGTAGTATGGGCCCATACTACCTTCCACACCTATCCATACTTTCCTTATCAATCCTCCCAAATTCTCTAAGTCACCTACTCCACTGGTGTGCCAAAGATCCGCTATACAGCAACACAATACCCACCAAAGCAACTCCTAGGCTCCCCTTAGTTCCCAACCTCACCGAACCGTCCTACTAACTCATTGGAGCATATCCTAGGCTTTCCTAGGTTCCCAACCTCGCCATGCCATCAGTTGCTGAAGAACTCCCCATGATGCTAGCCATCCACCTCTTGGATATCACCATATCTACTTAGTAGTTGACTCCCATCACTCAAGAGTTCCACAAAGCAAGCAACATTCGTGCAGTAGCACTCTAATCCAATGAACTATCACAGAACATTTTGCCCACATACCACAACTCGTGATATCCACATCCATCCATCCTCACTGTCGGCTGCCTTATGCATGCAAATTATACATAGAACATGACCTGATAGACTGTTGCACTACTAGAAAAACAGCCTTTTACGACGCTCATTGCGCGTCGTAAAAGGCTCAGATGACGTGCAAATGCGCGTCAAGGAAGGCCCTGTCATAAAGAGAAACGACGCGCTTTTGCACGTCGTCTATAGACGACGCGCATTTACGACGCACAATTACGTCGCGCATTTACGACACGCAATGCGTATCAAGGAAGGCCCTGTCATAAAGGAAGACAACACGCATTCGCGTGTCGTAACCTTACGACGCGCGTGTTAATGACACGCAATGCGTATCAAGAAAGCCCCTGTCAAGAAAGGCCATGTCATAAATGAAGATGACACACATTTTTGCGTATCATAATTTTAAATGTTTTAAAAAAAATATTATATTATGGATTTACTAATTTTCAAATTAAATAATACATTAAAAATCTCATAATACAAAATAAAATACGATAAATAACAAAGATAATTCATTTCACTAATATGTCAAATACAAATAATTATTCCAATATTGAGTAATTGTAATAAAAGAAATGAACTCAAGAGAAGTAGAATTTATATACAATCGCATTATCTAGCTTACTATGTACTAACAACTCTCTGTGTGTTTGCTTTTGCTTGAGTCTTGTTTCCTCCAAAGCTTCTAGCCATGCCAAAGTATGAGTCTTGCTTTTGCTTGAGTCTTGTTCATGTCCAAATCAAGTAAAACATTGCTAACTTATATTCATCAAGTCCTTACCTTCCTGGAACTGAATTGAAGTCACCACAGACGAACATTGGAATATCTGAACTTGCAATTATCTTTTTCAATCCTTTTAACAGTGTGTGAACCTTCAATTTTCACATTTATATAGTTTTTAAGTTATTAAACATGAAGAAAAAGTGTATATATACAAACAACAAGAGATACTTATCTTCTTTGTTTTCATTTCTCTTCGACAAAATCTACACTAAAAGAAATGTGCGCATGTATGTTAATGTCAAAATTCCTATGAGGGCAAAATGGTCATAATAATTCGGAACAATCTGGAAGAGTATTTTTGTTCGAGTGGAAAGTGAATCTTGATTTATACATACATACATACATATATATATATATATATATATATATATATATATATATATACATACACACACACAACACAATATCAATGTATGTCAGTGTGTGTGTGCTAACAACCGAGAAGCTAAAGAGCTTCCTAACATGGAAGATAACATGAAAGTAGCAAAAATGAAACCATGTGGAATGTCTTTACCATTTGGGCTTAAAGCAGGTGTCCATAGAAACACAAAAGTGTACATTGAACCCTCGAATAAAGATTGTATTGCACCCAATAATGCTATCTTTTCATCTGTTTTTACACAAAAAAAAGAAACTATTAGGTCCAAATTTAGAAGGTAGAATGATATGTATGCATAATTACAAGATTGCCACTTTGGATTCTTCATGCTTCTCCTGTATATGCATTAGAACCATAGACAATATAAAGGGTGTATTTAGAAATGTAATATTATATCTCACCTTGTTGTGTTCAGCAACAAGCCATGATTCGAAGGCTGAAAAGAGGAGAGAGGTGGCAATCCCTCTCAATATACGCCCCACCATTAGAATTATGTACTGAGGTGAATGCTTGGTGATGCAATTTAGAATGTAGGTTATGCAGTAAGTAATTGAAGCTCTTTTTGCTTCTCCTTCTCCTTCAGAATGTAGGTGACAATCCCTACTCAATTTCTCCCTGACAGTTGATCCACGGTGTTTTTTTACTCGCATATCAGAACTGTCATCAGAAGAAGTATCTTTCTTCACAGTTTTTTTCTTTTTACCTATAAAGAAACAAAGGTATCAGTTCAGCAACAAACTTTCACTTTTTGACTCATTTAGTCCCTAATCGGTTTTTTGAATTCAATTAGAGTACACTTAAAAACAAATTTAGTGGCCTACTGAGTCCAAAAAATGATTAGGTACTTGTAAGGTACAGTGGCTGAATAAATAATGATGCTTTCCTGTTTGTTTTTTAGAGTAAATAAGCCAAACTGTCTGTACGTGACAAAATGACCATTTTACCCTTTCGTTTATGAATAATACAAACACAAGTGTTCATATGTAAAACATGGTTTCAGGAAAATGACATGGAAGGTTCAGCTATCTAAGAGCTGCAAAAGAGACTGAATATTTCTGTTTCGTTTTCTGGTCATAATCTTCAAATTGTTCATGAATCAGAAGATAAAGAATTTCTTGAACTGGCATCAAGGATAAATGGAAATAAATCATTTAATAATAAACAGGTCAGATATCTTTATTTAGTTATTTTATTTCTCTTTTTGCCATATGTGACTGAAATATATTATATTATTATACATAAAACTCACTACAGGCTGTTAATGCACTCCGTGAACATTGGCAAAATTCTTCCCCAAAATCAATACCTCTAAAGGAGCTTAACCCCTAAACAGGTAAGAAAGTCTCCAATATAGATTATTTCTTATATGAAAAAGAGAAAAACAGCACCAATACAAATAGAACCCAGTCATGTAAGTCCACTCTGATAGAAACCTGTCATTTAAAGGTTCTTCATGTTTCCAATGACTATGTTTGATAAAAAAAAATGAAAATGAACAGAAAGACTTCCTAATGATAATAATGAGGGTAAATTGATAATTTAAACTCAAAATGCTGCATTTCGCATAGGGCATCCAATTTGGAAATTTGTTCAATTATTGTGGGATGGAAACAATCAAACAACGTATATTTTATTGATATTATGTTGATAAGTTGCAAGTCTTCTATGTTACCTATTTTAACAGAAGATCTAAGGAAGACTGAATATACTTACTGTACAAACCAAAGTAATAGGAAGGACAATGCAGAGGAAGTCGATTATTCGTCCTCAAAATCCCTCTTTTCTGTCAAATAAAATTACATGAATATGTCAAGGACAACATTAATAAACACCTATTAAATTGCAAGGGAAAATGATAGACCCTTGTTGAATCTATCATAAACTCCAGGCATTTTAACCCCTGATCTAATTACGTGATGATATTAAGATAATTCCCAGCTTTCGAGATGTGGGTATCTCCAAGAAAGAACAAAGTTCAATTCATAATAATTCTTCGCTATCTCACTCCTATTACTAACTACTATATATATACTGCTACTACTAAAGAAAAGGACAAAAGGGAATAACAGCTAGCAAGGTGATATCACCACTACTTTGTCTCACCACTAACTCTAAACTGTTAAAATAAATAAAAGACCAAACTGCCCTCCATACACCAATTCTGGAAGTAGGCTGCAGAAGATTAGACTTTGGGTTTCCAAGCCCTTATACCATAAACTAATAGTCCATGGGGCTTATCAGAAAAGAATAACAAAAAAGAAAACCCCACAAACCTCTGGGTATGTGTTGCGTCGCCTCAAATTTGCAAGAGCAGAAGCAACCTGATTAAGATTATATGTTAAAATTAAGTTGTAATTTGTAAATATATATGATAATAATTATTTATGAAATAAATGATACCTGATCACTAGCTTCTTTGAGCTGTAATAGTACCATTGCATATTCCTTTTTGAAGCTTTCGGATACATTCATGGGGACACCTGTCTCGTTTTTACTCAATGAGAGTGCATGTATATCGGTTTCTCTTGCCTGAATTTGAGAGGCTGCTGCATGCTGATGCTGTGAGATAATAACATTGTCTGCAGCTTTAAGAGGTGCACCAGACCGATTTTGTCCCTAAACAACGTATAATTTTTAATTTTATTAACATATGTTCGGGTATTTTTTTTTCAAAAATAAATTTAAGAAAACTAACCAGTCGATGGAGACCGGGTTTTCAATTATACCCAACACACATGAACCTTCACATGGAACGGGGCAAACCTTGCCCGTGAACTCTGGGAAGTTATTTGTTTCAAGAAGTCGATCCAATGCCTCACGTCATCTGTTGTGGTCGGGTCGCCCGATGTTTGACCGCATCAGTGACTCTTGATGGTCGGGTCGCCTGTTCGGCATTTTCATCCTCCTTCACCTAAAAATCGAAATTAAACAAAATTACTATTTTACCCCTCAAACAAATTCTAAAGCATTATAAATAAAAAAAAGATATGATTCTCACCTGATTAACAGTGTCAATCAACTGATTAACTGTCTCAGTCAGTGACTTGGCTGCCAGCTTCTTAAGATCCTCAAAAGCATCTTTCTCCTTCAACACATCTTCCTCACGAATGTCAGCTTCTTCAGCAGCCAAATCAACTTTTTTTTAGTTCTTTTCTATGGATTTTGACCATTTTCAACTCGACCCACTAACACCTAATAACTTTGACTTGTGGAGAGAAAACCCATGCTTTAACCTTGTATAGATCATCTCTCGCTTTCTTGAAACAAGCAGCTTGGGACTGGAACAACAATCAAATCAAAATTTCTCAAACAAATAAAATATAGGGTTTAGAGCTCATTTTAGAGCCAACTGATATGAAGGAAAAAAAACCTCATGATACAGATATGCCTTGACCCCCTTTAGCCCATGCCACATTACAGACCCAATCAGCTTGTGGCTTACTACAGAGAGAACCTAAATTCAAATCTCTAACACATAATTTGAAGAAATTGTTGTCTTTGTCATACATGATGTATGCAATGAATCGATGACCAGGTGAGACTTCTGCTACCTCTTCATATGCATAACCTAAATGAAGTCATGTTAATAGATTAAATGAAGTGGAAGAGAATTAGAGATCATTGAAAGATGTTGAAATGATACTGGAATTGGAATTACCCCAAATCTTTCTGCTTCTTGATTATAATCGATGAGTTTTTGTTCAATCCTCTTCCTGGAGATGAAATCGAACCCACCTGTTGGACTTTTATGTGAAATGAACTCTTCGTTTAGGCTAGCTAATCTCCTACAGAGTAATGGATATTGTTTCCCTTCCTCTACTCTCCTGTAATACAACCTGAATTTCACCTCCAAATTGCCAAAGAAGAACACGAATTTGAATTCGGATCCAAAAGAAATCAACAAGCATTAGATGAAGTGCAATTTGAAATTGATGGTACCAGGGCCCCCAGCGAAATGGAGGAGTGGAGAGCTGAGAAGACATGCGAGATGCTATTTTTGATTGGAGTTTGGATTGAAGGCGATCGGAGTCTGCTAAAATAGCTTCAATCGAATGGCGCTGATGTAAGGAGTCACATAACCTTCAATCGAAGGTGTTTTGCGTGAGAGGAGCTGTTGGATCTCTCTGAACAATTTATTGAGAAGTGGTTCAAAGCCCTAGTTCTTTTCGTCGAATGGCGCTGATGGAAAGCATATGGAGACTTGCGACATAGTGGATAGAGAAGATTAGTGTCTGATGGCGCTAATAAAAACATACGAGACAAACACTCTTTATAGATTCCATGGCCGCTTAGAGCTGATGGGTTTTGATGCTGGTGATGGCGGCTTAGGGCTTGAAAAGAGAAGGGAGAGAGAGTGCAGATCAAGGTACAGGAAGACGAGTTGCTTTAAAAGGATTGACAACCTCACAATAGAATTAGGGTTCTTTGTTAGAATAGAATTCGGGTTCTTTGTTAGAGGATTGTAGAATGAGAGAAGTAGGCGGGTGTTTAATTTTTTGGGATTTCATTTCCCTCCATCGCCGATTAAAAAAAAGCGAGAACGCGCCTTCCTAAAAAAAATATAAAGCGACATCTTTACACGACGCGCTTTTTATGGTAGGTGCCTTCCGTGTTTTTTTTTGGACATTAATTTCCGGGCGCGCAAAAATGCACGCCCTCTATCCTTCACATTTTGCAAAGCTGACATTATTTTTTAGGGCACGTACAAATGCGCGTCGTCTATCAGCGCGTGTCATTGTTTGCGTGTCATTAAAGGCCTATTTTCTAGTAGTGTTGAATAATAGACTCTACCCTAGGATCACAACCGAATGAGGAACAGGAAATAAAGCTAAATCAATTATTCTAAGGCTATAAGATCCTAACAGTATACAATTTTTAAAGCATACACGTAGCAGTTACTAATATCAATAATCATTCTCATTGTAGCATAGCATCCAATATTCCCAAGGCTACAAGCAGCACCACATATCAGACGAATCTATTGCTGACTACTCAACACTAGCATGCAAGTCAAGCAGCTCATACAAGATATACATGCATCTCCCCTAGCCCTAACTAGCATGCGATTCACAGATTCATAAACCAAGTCGTAATAGATATCATATATGGGTATTCAGGGGAGACTTACTTTAGCTCGGCTGATTGCATGCACCACACCCTTTCTTGTCTTATAAACCATTTCCTTAAAACATTTCTCTTTTTGAAAACATTACAGATCCTCAGCTTGAGTCCAGACACACCAGAAAGTATGTCCAAGTCCCTCAAACAAAGGCTCTGATACCAACTTGTAACGACCCAAAAATTAAGGGTAAAAATTTCATTTTTAATATAGCTAAAACATTGATACCATTTATTTCAAACATTTCAAATCATCATTAAGTAAAACATATTCAGCGTTCATCCCAAAATCATTCATTGCGGAAATCATAGGTGTGTGCACTGCGATCAATCCGAACCCATCTTTTTTAATTGATGATACCTGAAACCAAATCTGTAAACCGTAAGCATAAAGCTTAGTGCGTTCCCAGAGCATACCCCTTCCCCCCAATCCACATAACATATATCATATTAGCTATAAAAGCTACATATACATATAGGGATGCAGTGGAAACCTTCCAAGGTCTTACACCAAGCGCCACGGGAAACCCCGACGTGGTCTTTACTAGCCGCCATTGGAACCCCCATGTGGTCTTGGCTAATTGCCAAGGGAGTCCCCGCGCAGTCCACACAAGTCATGAAAATATCTTACGAACTAAACAAGTAAACATACTAAGAATCCATGGAATCCCTCCAAGGAATTATACTAGATGCCATGGGAACCTCCTCATGATCTTAATATACTGCGACAGAAACCTCCTGTGTTCTTTCATACAAATGTCCTAACGGCATATCACATATCCAACTATCAATCTGTATAACATTAAATGAGTCGGCCTTGGTGCCATAGACCCATTGGTATGGTGAGATGACCCACCTTGCACTGCTGAAGTCCTATGGGTAAAACTCTAGCTGCTGGTTGATAGGTTAAAGGATGTAACTATAGATTTATATAGGAATGAATTCAGTCGAGAGCTTTTACCTTTTAAGTTAAGTGAGTTCGATGTCATTCTCGGTATGGTTTGGTTAAAAGAGAACCTCACAAACATCTTGTGTGGACGGAAGATGGTGTACATCAGTCTACCTAGAAGAAAGCCATTCATCGTATATAGATATACGAGTAGAGTGAAGTCTGGAATCATCATAATGACGAAGGCCATAAGATGTTTATCAAAGGGATGTTCAACATTCCTAACATATGCAATCAACATGAAGAAAAATAAAAGGGCAATGATTGATATACCTATGGTACGAGACTTTCCTAACGTATTTTTAGACGAATTATCAGGATTACTACCAGGCAGGTAAAATTCAGAATAGACTTTTTGCCAGGCACGACGCCAATTGCAAAGGCGCAATATTGTTTAGCGCCGACGGAGATGAAGGAGTTAATGACATAACTTCAGGAGTTATTGAACAATGGTTTTATTGGACCTATTTCATCACCATGGGGAGCTCCAATACTGTTCGTAAAGTAGAAGGAAGGTACTATGAGTATGTGTATTGAATATCGTGAGCTAAACAAAGCTACGAGCAAGAATAAGTATCCTTTACCTAGGATAGATGACTTGTTCAATTAATTGCTGGGAGCAACTGTTTTCTCCAAAATTGATCTTAGGTCAGGTTATCATTAGTTAATGATTAGGGAGAAAGATATCGAGATGACAACATTTAGAACCCAATACAGACACCATGAATTCCTCCTAATGTTCCAGCAACATTCATGGATCTGATGCATTGAGTTTGTAAACTTTTCTCGATAAATCAGTAATAGTGTTCATAGATGACATCTTGATTTATTCCAAGAACAATCAAGATCATGGCAAACATCTCTGAGAAGCACTGAAAGTCCTTAAGAGGGAGAAACTTAATGCAAATTTCTCTAAGTGTGAGTTTTGTATACAAGAGATTCAGTTCTTGGGTTATGTAGTTAACCAGGAAGGCATTATGGTTGACCCAACAAAGATAGAAGTTGTAATGAAGTGGGAGACACCAAAGAGTCCCACTAAAATCTGTAGTTTTCTGGGATTGGCAGGATACTATCAAAGATTCATTCAAAATTTCTCTTCTATTGTGGCTCCATTGACAGCCCTGGCTAAAAAGGGAGTTGTCTATACTTGGAGCAAGAAGCGAGAAAGTGCTTTTGGTGAATTGAAGAAGATATTGTGTGAGGCACAAATCCTCGTCCTACCGAAGGAACTGAAGATTTCGAAGTTTTAAGTGATGCTTCTAAGATTGGATTGTGATGTGTCCTTACCCAAAGGGACAAAGTATTAGCTTATGCCTCAAAACAGCTAAAGCCCCATGAGTAGAATTATCTGACTCATGATCTAGAGCTTGAAAAAATGGTTCTTGCTCTAAATATATGGATCATTATCTTTACAAAACAAAATGCAAACTCTATATGGATCATAAGAGCCTCCAATATCTTTTTGCTCAGAAGAAGTTGAATATGAGATAAAGGTGATGGATGGAGCTACTCAAGGACTACGATTGAGAGATACTTTACTACCTAGTTAAAGAAAATATCGTAGCTAATGCCCTGAGTAGAAATGTGATTACTGAAGGAAAGAGAGCTAGATCATTGAAGGTTGAAGTAATATCAACGATTATAAAGAAGATTAAAGAAGCTCAGACAATGGCTCTAGCTAAGCATGATATGAAGGAAGAATGTCTAAGCAAGACATTCATGTTTGAAGAAGACAAACAAGGGTTAAAGAGGTTTAAGGATCGCATTTGGGTGCCAAAGACGGGTGGGATACCTAATCGTATCATGGAAGAATCTCATAGGACTGTTTATTCTATACACCCAGGCATCACCAAAATGTACTTAGACTTGAAGCGCTATTATTGATGGACGACAATGAAGGTCGACATAACAACTTTTGTAGCGGAATTCCTAACTTGTGAGAGAGTGAAGGCACAACATTAGAAGCCATATGGGAGTCTGGAAGCCTTACCAACACCTATAGGGAAATGGGATGACGTTACCATGGACTTCATAACAAAGTTTCCAGAGACAAAGAGAGGTCAGGGCATTATATGGGTTATAGCAAACCGACTTACGTAGAGTGCAAATTTTATAGCCACACGAGAGAATTGATTTATACAGATGTTGGTAGAGACCTATGTAAGGGAAATTGTAAGGATTCATGGAGTGCCCTTATCTATCGTTTCAGATAAGGACAGTAGATTCACCTCCAGATTTTGGAAAAGTCTACAGGCAGAGTTAGGCACGAAATTGTGTTTGAGTACTACCTATCATCTGTAAACAGACGGACAGAGTGAGAGAACTATCCAAACCATCGAGGATATGCT